CCCCGCACCTTTCGCGTCCCCCCTCCAGCCCCGGGCATCCTCCTCCCCCACCCCAGGTACCAGCTGGGCAGGCGCTGAGCTCCCCCCCTGCATCTCCCCCCCGCCGCGTGTCCTCCCCCCGCCCTGAACCCCCCCCCGCGCGTCCCCCCCCCGCCCTGAGCATCCTCCCCTTGTGAGCTCTCCCTACACCATGATAGCGTAGACGGGGGTGTCTATAGGAAATTATAGGGGGTCTCTATATGGTACATAGGGGTGTCTGTAGGGATAGATAGGGGGTGTCTATGGGGGTAGATGGGGTGTCTACAGGGGTAGGTGGGGATGTCTATAGGGGAAGACAGGGGGTGTCTATGGGATAGATGGGGTGTCTACAGGGATAGGTGGGGATGTCTATGGGGAAGACAGGGGGTGTCTATGGGGTAGATGGGGTGTCTACAGGGGTAGGTGGGGATGTCTATAGGGGAAGACAGGGGGTGTCTATGGGGTAGATGGGGTGTCTACAGGGGTAGGTGGGGATGTCTATAGGGGAAGACAGGGGGTGTCTATGGGGTAGATAGGGGGTATGTGGGAGTAGCTCCTGTTTGCTGTGGTTTGGTGCCCTCTAGTGGCCGTTGGCAGCAAAGCGTCCATGTCTCCCGGAGCTGGGGAGTTTCACCCCCGGAGCCGGGGCGATCGCAATCGGCGGCAATTCGGGGGCGGGTCCTTCCCTCCGAGAGGGACCGAGGGACCCTCCGCCGAAGAGCCCGACGTGCCGCCCCTTCCCCTTGGCCCCCCAAGCACCTGCTTGCTCAGCCGGCCCTGCTCAGAGCCTGCTAGGGTGACCAGACAGCAAGTGTGAAAAATCGGGACAGGTGGTGTGTGTGTGTGGGGGGGTAATAGAAACCTATATAAGAAAAAGACCCAAAAATCGGGACTGTCCCTATAAAATCGGGACATCTGGTCACCCTAGAGCCTGCCCTGCCCCTCCCTGTCCGGGGCTGGGGGGGGGTGGGGGTCTCCCTCAGGAGGGGGGAGCCCTCCAGCAGGCAGCCCCCGAGGCCTGTCCCACAGCTGGGGGAACCTGAGCCCCTCTATGGTAGTTTTGGGGTCCCCTCCCCAGTCTGGGGCAGTGGGGGGGGGACACATAGGTTTGGGGCTCCCACCCTTCCCATTTCCTGGGGTGGGATCCCAGGGCGCCTTCCTCCTGCCCGGCGTGGCTGCCTGTCCCCCCACCCTGAAGTCACCCCCCCTCCAGGGCAGGGGGAGCACGAAGGAGCCAGGATCCAGACCAAAGCCACCCACAACACAGAGAGCTCCAGAACAACCAACGGCTTCTGTGTAGGCCTGGCTGATCTATCCCCCTATTCCCCTCTCCCTCCATCCATCCATCCACCCCTCTCTCCATCCATCCATCCATCCATCCATCCATCCCCATACACACCCCTCCCTCCCTCCATCCATCCATCCATCCATCCATCCATCCATCCATCCCCATACACACCTCTCCCTCCATCCATCCACCCCTCTCTCCTCCATCCATCCCCATACACACCTCTCCCTCCATTCATCCACCCCTCTCTCCATCCATCCATCCCCATACATGCCTCTCCCTCCATCCATTCCTCCATCCATCCATCACCTCTCCATCCATCCATCCACCCCTCTCTCCAGCCATCACCTCTCCATCCATCCATACCCATACATGCCTCTCCCCCCATCCATTCCTCCATCCATCCATCACCTCTCCATCCATCCATCCCCATACACGCCTCTCCCTCCATCCATTCCTCCATCCATCCATCCATCCATCTATCCCCATACACACCTCTCCCTCCCTCCCTCCATCCCCAAACACAGCTATCCATCCATCAACCCCTCTCTCCATCCATTCATCCCCATACACACCTCTCCCTCCATCCATCCACCCCTCTCTCCATCCATCCATCCATCCATCCATCCCCATACACACCCCTCCCTCCATCCATCCACCCCTCTCTCCATCCATTCCTCCATCCATCCATCACCTCTCCATCCATCTATCCCCATACACACCTCTCCCTCCATCCATTCCTCCATCCATCCACCCCACTCTCCATCCATCCATCCATCCCCATACACACCTCTCCCTCCATCCATCCACCCCTCTCTCCATCCATCCATCCATCCCCATACACACCTCTCCCTCCATCCATCCACCCCTCTCTCCATCCATCCATCCATCCATCCATCCATGCATCCAT